GCCCAAGTCCTTGCTGCTCATTAGACTGCCATGAAGTATCTGGCAGGGACAGTGGAATTATATAGTGTCTAGTCCTAACCAGACCTAGAGATGTGCAATGTATGTAAAATTCTACTTGGAATGATGGGGGTGAGGGTGGGAGAGAGAAACTCCCCTGCCAAGGTGAAACACCACTGTCTATGTCTGCTAGCACTCATTGTGAGGCAGGAACACAAACTCAAACTGTCTGTGTTAGCCTTTAGATTACACAGGCTTTTGCTTATCAAAAACCCAATTTTGTGTGTGCACACAATTACTTATAGGAGTACCTCTCCCCACAGGTTAATCTGTTTTCAAAATGGATAGAAAGGGAAATATGAAGGTCTCTTATAGTGATCCCCAAACCTCACTTTGCAATACCTTAGGATGTCTCCAATAATTTCAAAAGATGCTAGAAAATTCTCAAAGTGAAATTCAAGAAATGCTATAATTCTTTTAGGAGTGGAGAATCATAGTTCTACAAATTCACACCAAGAAAAATAGGGGATCTGAAAAGCTGGGAATCACTTTTACAGAACTAAAACCAAGCCAGTTTGTCAGAGAAGGCTAGATGTGCCTAATGTACCATATTTGCAACTTAACCATGTCACAAAGAGCCACAAGGCGGAGGTGAATGCCCCTGTATCATACAGCCCTAAATTGCACCTATATTGCAATACTGCATTAGTTTCACTGCATTTCTTTATTTGTATAAAATATTACCTGGAAACCCCCCCCCCAAATAAAAGTCTTTTTAAAAAAAATTTCATTATAAGGGTTCCTGTATAAAATGCCAAAATGTAATCGCCTATATACAAAATGCTGCTATTTAAGAAAATAATAGGACCCAATTATAGAACAAAATAATTTTGTACAAAAAAGGTACAACATTGGACTCAAGTTAATATTTTTAAAAAACTAAAAAAAAAAGGAATATTGAAATATCTTGATTGCAGAAAATAACTATAATATGTTGGGGAGAGGCCTTTGCTTATCTTTTCTCATGTTTATTGCAGGTGAGAGAGTTTTCTTCACCATAATTATTTGATGAAAAGTTTCCTGCTTTTCAGTGCAAATTGCTTCACATCTGTCACTGTCAGGATGCATATTTAGAAACCCAGGCAGTACGTCCATGGACCAGCTGGGCTGCAGGTGGCTGAGGCAGTAATCCTGGGGTATTTTGGGGATGAGTATGGAAAAGGGGTCGATTGTGATGAGGTCTCACAGACTTCAGTGAAGCATAACCTGAAAAAAAAAAAGTGAATGATGACCATCAAAAAAAAAAAAAGAAAGAAAGAAATGGAATCCTGTTTTATTTGGCTCTCTTCGTACTCAACAACATTTACTGGGCACTTCTGATGTGTACCTAATTGTGGGAGGTGATGGGTACACAAAGACAACCATAATGGTTCCTAGCCTGCAGGGGCTTACATTCTACTGGGGCGATACAACATGAACACAAGTTGCTAAGTATAAAGTATGTGCAAAGTAATTTCAAGAGGGAGAGAAAGGAAGGAAGGAAGCATTTATTAAATGGCTACTATAAGTTAGGCAAGAAGTTAATTCAGGCTATTCATTGGAAGATCAAATATTCAAGCTGAAGCTTAAATACTATGGCCACATAATGAGAAGATAGGACTCACTGGAAAAGACCCTGATATTGGAAAAGATTGAAGGCAAAAGGAAAAGGGGATGGCAGAGGATGAGATGGAAAGATGGTTTCAAGGAAACAACAAACATAAACTTGGACAGAATTGGAGAGGTCATGGAGGATAGAAGGGCCTGGCATGCTATGTGGTACAAGGGGTCACGAAAAGTTGGACATGGCTGAACAATAACATAAGTGGGAAACATGATACAAACATTCTCTTATTTGATTTTCACAACTACCCTGGGAGATGGGTGCTATTATTTTCCCCCTCCTCCGTTTTATAGTTAAGAAACTGAGGTAGATACAGGTTAAGTAACTTGCCTAATGTGCTGTATTTGCAACTCAACCACTTCACAGAGGCAGAGCCAAGATGGTGGAGTAAAAGCAGTGACTTGCTTGAGCTCTCACCCAAATCCCTCCAACTACCTCTAAAAAATGGCTCTAAACCACTTCACAAATAAGCCACAAGGTGGAGGTGGGTGAATGCCCCTGTATCACATAGCCCTAAATTCTATCTCTACTGTTCAGTTGTTTTTCAGTTATGTCCAACTCTTTGTAACCCTATTTGGGGTTTTCTTGGCAAAAATACTGGAATGGCTTGCCATTTCCTTCTCCAACTCATTTTACAGATGAGGAAACTCAGGCAAACAGGGTTAACTGATAGTGTCTGAGCCCAGATGTAAACTCAGGGAAATGAGTCTTCCTATCTCCAGGCCCAGCACTCTATCTACTGCACCATCTAGTGTCACCTTATTGCAACATTGCATTATTAACCAGGGTGACACAGCAAGGAAGTGTCTAGGGCTGAATTTGAACTCAGGTCTTCCTCACTCCAGGCCCAGCACTTTATCCACTGTGCCACCTAGCTGCCCCTTGGAGCTGGATGGATGTGGAAGAGTCTCATGGAGGAGATCATGTCTGAGCTAAGCTTTGAGGGAAACTAGGAATTTGAACAGGTGATAATGGAGTTCATGCCAAGCAAGGGGCACACAGAAAAATAAAGGAAAAGGGAAATAACAATTTTAAGCATGCCAGCAGTTATGAATGGCATCCACTCAGGGAGTGAGTGACAGGAGACACACATATGCTGTTTTCTTATCAGTCTCAGTTCCCCCAAACCTCCAATAGTGTGAAAATCGCACTAGGTCTTTTCTAGGGCCTGAGAGGCCATTAAATTCCACCCCTTCATTCTACAGCTGAGGAAACTGAGGCATAAAAATGTTAGGTCTCTAAGTGACGTGGTCTGGGTCACACAGCTAATAAGTATCCAAGGCACAATTCCAAGACAGGTGTTCCTAGATACAAGTCCAGCATTCTGCCCCTACATGAAACATAAATGCTCTCCAGGGAATTGGTTTTCCCCATATCACATTTCCCTGCCTCCTACCCTGTGGTTGCCCCACTTACAGCAAAAAAGAGGGGATAGGGAAACTCAGTGGAGTGATTTGATAGTGGGGCACTAAATGGATTGGCATTCAGCTCCACTTCACATTTCAGCCTGACCAATCTATACCGCAGAGCCAAACCTTACCTGGAATTTACCAGCTTCTCTTACTTCCGACATGCCAGAGGCTGCTCAACATTGAGACGTCTGGCAGATATGGATAAGGCCCAGGCCAAATTTGTACCCTCTCTCCAAGATTTTCAAGGTCAAGGGAAGTTTCACCATATCTTAACCCCTATACTCTGCAAGTCTTGGGATCTTTTCTTTGGAGCAGGGAGACCCTGCCTTTTCTCCCCTCCCCCTCCTAAAATAAAGAAAAAAAAGAGAAAATAATAAAACAAAACATCTTTTCCTGGTTCTCTTCAGGTTTCTCTACTAACACAAGGAAGCTGAAGTTGGGGTAGAGGGAAAGGAAGGGATATTCCACAAGATGAGGCCACAAGGGATAATGAATGTTTGGATGAGAAGACCCCAGGAGCTTCCCTAGAGGGCAAACACTGTCTTTCTTTCTTGTCGTATTTGTATTCCTAGAACTTAGCAAAATGCCTGGCTCATAGTAAGCTAATAAATGCTTACTGGTTTGACTTGACACTGGAAAAATGGATCACAGGACCATAGACTTAGAACTAGAAAGGACCTAAGAGGTTATCAAATCCAACTACCTCATTTTACAGATGAGGAAACTGAAGCACAGAGAGGTAAAGCCCAGGGACATGCAGCTACTAACCGTCTGGGTAGGATTCAAATCCAGGTGTTCCTGACTCTAAGTCTAACATCACTGAATTGTTACATGTCTGGAGTTAACTAATAGGCATACGGCTCTTCCTATAAAAAGTATAGAATTTTTAAATGTCCAGAGTTAAGTAACAGGTATAAGGCTCTTCCTATAAAGAGTATAAAATTGTTAAATGTCTGGCGTTAAGTAATAGGCATATGGCTCTTCCTATAAAGAGTACAGAATTGTTAAATGTCCGGAGTTAAATAACAGGTGTAAGGCTCTTCCTATAAAGAGTATAAAATTGTTAAATGTCTGGAGTTAAGTAACAGGTATATGGCTCTTCCTATAAAGAGTATAGCTGGACCTTTTGATCTCTAAGGATTGACAAGGTAGAACTACCCAGGCCACCAGGAAAGTGTTCATCTAGTAATGGCCAAAGGAAGATAAAAGGTGATGAGTGACTGCTGTTGAAGCCCTTCTGTGAGATACTCAGGCATTCACTTGCCACCCTGGCATGAACGAGGGAGAGTTCTGTTGTCTTCCCTGCATGTGTATCCAGGATGCAGTGAGACTCGTCAAAGCTGCCACCACCTCTTGGCAATCGGTGGGGCAGGCATGAGGGATGCCCAAAGTTACCCAAAAGCATTGCTAGACATTATAATGTTTCTGAAGAGGAACAGAAGAGTTTAGGAGATCAGGGAGCAGTTTTATCATAAATTCTGTAAAAGTTTCAGGGGTAAATGCATCATTCCCCCCATCCCCTGCCCGAAGATTGATAGAGCTATTGTTTTGGTGTAATGAAGGAAGGTGGCTTAGCATGAAGGGGAAAAAAGATATAAGGTTTACATTTTAACATTTATCTGAAATTTAAGTAGCTGCCTTTTGTTAATCCTTCTTTGAGCATGAAAAGAGAAAAGGTTGTTTAGATCAGGGACCCCCAGATCCATCCCCCACTCCAAGCTCAGAGATTGCCTTCTGACTTCCACGCCAGCTCAAAGACCCTCCTCCACTAACCCCGTGAGCCCCTTTCATCTCAGATCAGGTTCTCAAATAAAGGTGTTAGACAACAAGAATGACAGCAACAAAAATGCTGGAAAAAATTCAAGGAGCCATGACTTGCCTTGTGGTCTCAGAAATGTGTTAGCTGTGTGATATTAAGCAAGTCATCTCTGTTTGCCTTAGTTTGTTGATCTGTAAAGAGGAAAATAATAATGGTACCCACCTCCCAAGGTTGTTGCTAGAATTAAAATGATACAATGATTGTAAAGTGCTTAACAGAGTGATTGGCATTTGGTGGGCACTATACAAATGCTGACTATTACTAAAATTGTTTCTTAAGTTGAATGCATTACTTACTGGATTGTAGATATGATTAGCACAAAATTACAAAGGTAATAAAGATTAATGATGTACTATGTAGGATAATTGGGAAATATATTTGGCTGAATTGGTATTGTGTGGTAAGAAATTATCTTTCTTGTTTTAAATACAGGATATTGTGCATGTTATTATTGTATTTCTAAATTCTCTATTGTAAAATACTTTGGGAAACCATTCTATCAGAAATGCTGTTAAATTAACTTTAATCTGATTATGAATAGACCTTTTAAAAGAATGTGATAAAAACAGGCATTATGGGGTATATTGTTTTAAAACAGATAATTATAATAAGTTTACCATAATAAAGTATTTTACTTTGAAAATGTTTGAATACTACTTACAAAAATTATGAACATGTATACGGTGGCTTAAAGATGTAACTTCAATATATTAATATGAGTTAACTCTCAGGTATTTGATGTATGTCTGAAACCCCAGAATGTGGTTAGCTCTAATCTATCCTTCATAAGTAAAAGACAAAAGAAGTGTTAACCATAAGGGGAACACAAGTAAAGATATTCAAGCCCTAAGATGTAGTTAGAGAAATTCTGCTATTTCAGGTAAAAATTCTTGGGACTATAATTCATTATTGTTTTGAGTTCTGATTGCAGGAATGGTTGTCACAAAGCCAGTAGTAGCAAATGACATGTGCTGCCATCTGAGGAACTGCTAATGGTGGATGTCTATGCCTAGGAAAAGCTTTGGGGATGACCCTGGCATGAGTCCTCTTGACTCAGTTTCCTCATTATGCTATTTCCTCACTGAACAGGAAATTTTCCCACCTGGTTAATCTGAGCCTTAGCTTTTGATACATTGGGACTACATGACTGGCTGTCATATGTGACTTGTGCCTAGAATCAAACAGAGGCAAGAGTTTTTTTCCCTGTTATGATATATGTCAGGTCAGTCTGTGACCTTGAGGGGACGAACCTTGACACTGTTATAACTATATCCCTCCTTATCCTTTCATATCAAATTTATATGATAAGGGCAGGTGAGTAGCAGAAGTTTTGTAAATACAATACTAAATCTACTAATTAATAGGCTGATATTGGAATATCTCTGAGTTACTAAAATAGCATGCAAGTATGAAATATCTTTCAATTTTAATCTGTATTTGTGGCCAAATTATAATAGAGGCATAATATCCTACAAAACGGAGAATTAGACAAAGTAATAAGACAAAAGATATAATGTAAAAGTTGTCTAATTAAATGAATAATAAATTTCGAGAAAGTAACAGGATTAGATTTTTTTTCTCTAAGAACTATATACAAATGTATATGATTGGTTTCCAAATGTATCTAGGTTTTGGTTATGTTTCAGTAATAAGTTTCCAAAATTGGATTAAGGGTTTTACATATAAAATTGTATTAATAATTATAAAGAAGGTCAAATTATGTTTCTATTTTCAAAGTATCTGATATTTTAAAAGACAGAAAAGTTCATTTTACAAGTCAGACCCTCATACATTTTTTTTAAGAGTCTTATATCAGGTATAGGGTTTAAGTAAAGATAAAAACAGTAAGTGGTACACAAAAAAAACCTCTGAAATTCTCTGAAGCTTCAGGATCGGAGAACCAAATTTAAGAAATTGTGCTAAATTGTATTAAGTCTTGTTACTAGCAGATTTAACAGAATTATTTAGCAACCTCTACAAGTGATTTGAAATCAGAGAAGCAGAGTTCCCTTCACTGTTGTTGTTTTTGTCCTTCATCTCTGAAGAGGACTAAAATGACATCACTATGGTAGAATCAAATTTTAGTGTGTCCAACTGTGGCTGATCAGATCAATACGAGCTTAGAATGTCCTACCACAAGGTTGGACACAAACAGTCCGTGTGGACCTTTGCTTCACTGAACCCTTCTTAGCTGCCCTGAGAATGAAAGCCTATTGCAAAACGTACAAGAGAAGGTATCCAGGGACCAGACGACTACCTGGGACATCTGGGACTCAAAATGTGCTGATTAAATGGACATTGGGAGTGGGTGACTTGATGTTAATTTATGTTTAAGTTCTCCTGGTTATCTTAGTGACATGCAAATCTCTCTTCTCAAAATTATCCATTATGAGCCCTCTAAGTAGTTTGATCTGTAACCTGACTTACAAAATTCTGATTATGAATATGTGAAAAAACCTTATAGATTTGGCTCACAGATAAGTGATCCAAGGGGGCAGTGGGTTGTCCAGTCCCCCACAAATCAAAAGGGGGAAATTGGTGTTATTTGTAGAAGGTAATGCTTGGGCTGAGTCTTGAAGGAAGTGAGGGGTTCTCTGAGGTGGAAGTGAGAGGGAGCGAAATTCAGACATAGGAAATGGCCTTAAGTTGGAAAGATTGCTTAGGACTTTAAAAACCATCCAGAAGGGTTTTTATTTGATCCTAAAAGTAATAGGGAGCCATTTGAATTTATTGAGTATGAGAGGGACATGATGAGATCTGAGCTTTAGAAATATCACTTGGGCAGCTCTGTAGAGTATGGATTAGAACAGTGAGTCTTGAAAGGAGATCAATTAAGATTCTTTTGCAATAGTCTATACAAGAGGTGATGAGGCAGCTGAACTCAACTAAGCTGGTGGCTATATGAATCCTGAGAAAGCATCAGATGTGTGAAATGTTGTGTAGAAATGTCAAAATTTGAATATTGATTGGATATGTGTTAGAATTAGGTTAAACATCATTAAAATGGCCATAACCTTTCATGCAGAAATCCCATTACAAGATAACATACTACCCAAGGAGCTCAAAGACAGAGACCTCCCATGTACACCAAAAGACTCATGGTAGCACTTAGAGTAGCAAAGAATAAGGAAGAAAGTAGGTTCCCATCAATTGGGGGAAATGCTAAGGAAATTGTGATATATGAATGGAACTGTGCTATAAGAAATGGTGAATGCAATGAATTTGGAGCAGGACTAGAAGATATATATAGAAAGGTATGGAGCAAAGTAAGAACAACCAAGAAAATAACATAATCAGTGACTAAATAGAAAGAACACTAACAAGGAAACTGAACAATGTGCAATTAGGATGACTAATTTTCTCAGGGAAGATATTAGAAAATTCACTTCCCTCCTTTTTTTGCAGAGGAAGGGCACTATGAGTGCAGAAGATTATATAATCTGTCTGATTCGGCTAATGTGTGTCTTAGTTTTGCTGAAATACTTTGTTTTTTCTCTTTTCTTATTTTGTTACAGAAATAGCTCACTGGATAGGGGAGGAATATATTTCACAATAAAAGTGATATAAAAACAAAAGAGACAATTACAAAATGAAAAATAGAAAAAAATGTAAAAGATGATGTTGTTTGAAAAGAGGATTTGGATTTCCTATCACTTAAAATACAGGAATGATAACTTTTAGGCAGTAATAGAAGATTGTGTTTAAGACTGGAATTCAGTCTTTTGGACCAAGGCTTAAATATAAGAAAGAAAGCTTCTTCAGTCAGAAAGGAGTGCACCTAACAAATACTGATCAAAAAATCTATGTGCTAGGGGTCTTGTGAACCTGATCAGGAAGGCATTACACTGGAGAATAGAAGGGAAATGAGAAAACTGTTCTTGGATATCTGCCAAGCCAGATTCCACAAAAAACAAACAAAACCAAACAACAACCAGAAGACACAAAAGAGGAACAAGAATATATTAGTGAGAGAACCAATAATTCATAGAAGGTGACACCCAAGAAGAAAGCCAGAAACAAAACCCATATTCTCAAATATTATATACACATATGTATAAAATATAAAACACCATGAGGTTAACTGAAGAATTTCCAATACTGCTGAGTAAATTCAACCTCACAGTTGGATGGAACTCATGATTAGAAAATTTCCCTTTATGGATAGATCTTAATCAAAAGGAGAAGTAGAGTAGAATTTTATACTAAGAAGACACGGTTATGTGAGGAAATGTAGAAACTAGAAAGGGAAGCAGGACAGAACATTTGGGTGGGTAATCAACTGAGGTAGAAAGGGAAGGGATATTGTCATAGTAGTTTCTACAGACCCCCCCAAGAGAAGGAGAAAATAGCTCAGTGCAGTACAATAAAACCTGAAAGGGCAAAAACAAGGGCATTAACTGCATTAAGTGCTTCTCATGAATTTGCTAAATCCAGGGTAATCTGCTTGCTACCTGTTCGCATTTCATCATTACTCACCTGAATTCATTCTGCTGATTCCTGATACTGAACCAGAAGATTTTCCAGAGAGACTAGAACCAGACCATGAATTAGGTGGGAGAAAATCCTTGCCTGGATTTGGAAGTATGCCATTTCTAATAGTTATCCCTAATAGGAAACAATTAAAAAGTAATTTGTATATTTAGTCTTACATCAAGATTCAGAACAGCAATAATATAAAACCTGAATTAAATTAAATTAAACATTTAGTTTAATAAACAATTAAACATTTCCTATAAAACTAACCATGAAAGCTGCCAGGTCTTATTGAGTTTTATCTCCACAATATTTCTTTGGATAAGTGTACATATGTAAGTATGACATGCAGGTTAAATAGAAGCCTATCTGGATGGTGATCAGATTTAGATTCAGTAAATTTAGACAGAAATCGAGAGTAAGAAAGGAAGAGTCACAATAGAGATAGATAAATTAAGTGATTTGCCAATGGTTAATTATCTGTTGCTATTGTTTGGTCATTTTTCAGTCATTTCCAACCCTTCATAACTCCATTAGGAGTTGTCTTGACAAAGGTACAAGAGCGGTTTGCCATTTCCTTCTCCAGTTCATTTTACAGATGAGGAAACTGGGGTAAACAGGGTTAAATGACTTGTCCAGGGTCACACAGCTAGTAAGTGTCTCAGACCAGATTTGAACTTGGAAAGAGTCATCTTCCTGATTCGAGGCATGACACTCTATCCATCACCCAGCTGCCTCTAGCTAGTATGTGTCAAAGGCTGCACCTGTGAACCTTCTTGAATCCAAGGTTGGCCTCCCATGTGTATTGTCTCCCTCTGCCTTTGACTATCTGCTTGAATCTCTGACTCAATATACTTAATCCAAATTGGTAACCACTCAGATAAACCTATATTTGATTCATGTAACAGAAAAGTTTCCTAAGGGCAGTATACCATAATTCTCATGACTAATGTCTATTAGTGGGTAGCTAGGTGGTGCCACAGATACAGTGCTAGGCCTGGAGACAGGAAGACTCATCTTTCAGAATTCAGTTCTGGCCTCAGACACTGTGACCCTATGCAGGACACTTAACCCTGTTTCCCTCAGTTTCCTCATCTGTAAAATGAGCTGGAGAAGGAAATGGCAAACTGCTCCAGTATCTTCGCCAAGTAAACCTAAATGGGGTCATGAAGAGTCAAACACAACTGAAAAATGAACAACAAAAATGTCTATTACTATTTCCTAGCTGAAATATTTTTTCTCAAGAGGCTGAAAGGCAGGCAACTTGTATTTGTACACTAGAAGACCATTCTGAAGATTTTTCTAAACAGACTGGAAGACAATTCTTTCCTTTATTCTGAGAATGTCATTCCAGACAGAGCTTCAGTTCCTCATTAGAAAACTGAATGTCAACAGCTACTTTGACAAGGATTTATTTCATGTGTTCACCCTTTTCTCCTGTTTCTCAAGCACAGATGGTCATCAACTCCTTTAAAAAAAAACACTGTTGACTTCCTTGAGCCAAGATGGCAGAGTAAATTTGGTAGTCCCTCTCACCCTCCCCTATCAACCTCTGAAAACCCAGAAAATATCACCCCAGAAAAAAAAAACCCTGGAACAGCTGAACTAGAAGAAAGATGGGAAAACAGCAGTGCAGCAGCCCAGCAAACAATTCTTCCAGTGCCTCAGCAAAAGTAAGGGAAGCAGCACTTCAAAGGGCCCCAAGTGTATAAGCACCCTGCAGCATTCATCTGAAAGGAGCTGAAGAAAGCAACCTAGAGTCTTCCTAAAGTTCCAGCCTTGCTGACTCCAGCCCAACCCAACACCAGGCAAGCTGTCAGAACTCTACAGCCTCCAAATGTCAACCAGGAACAGATCTTGAAGCCCAGGTGGTAGAGCAGGCAAACACCAACATCCAGACCTCCAAATGCCTCAGTGAGGGTGTGGGAACCAGTGGAAACCAGCTCAGAAAACCACCAGATGCCTCAGCACTCTACCACAAAGGAATCTCCCAGTGTATTAGCAGAAACGAGGGAGGCAGCATTGCAAGGGGCCCCAGGCAGACAAACATCCTGCAGCACCCATCTAAAAGGAGCTGAAGAAAGCTAAAGGAAAGGAAAAGCAGGCAACCTAGAATTGCCTGAAAGTTCCAGCCTTGCTGATTCCAGCCCAACAAGAGGTAAGCTGCCAAAACCCTGCAGCCTCCAACTGCCAACATAAGAGGCCCCAGCACACAAAGCCAGTGACCAAGACCTAGGCTCCCAACACAAGAAGCTTGGGTCAGTGCCCTCTGTTTCCCAGCAGGAGAGCTCAATCTCTTTAAAGGCCAGGGAATAAAGAAATCATGAGTGAAAAAGAAACGTATCATAGATTCATATTATGAGGAGAGTGGAGATCAAGACAGAAATTCTGAAGAGGACAACATTGCCAACAAACCCACATCTGCAACATCAAAAGGAATATGAACTGGTCTGAAGCCCAAAAAGCCTTCTTAGAAGAGCTCAAGAAGGATTTTAAAAGTCTAATGAGAGCAGTAGAAGAGTCCTTAAAAAATACAATTGGCCAATTGGAAAAAACATACACTGAAGAAAACAAGTCCCTAAAAAAACACAATTGGCAAACTGGAAAAAAAGCACACTGAAGAAAACAAATCCCCTTAAAAATACAATTGGCCAATTGGAGAAGGAAGTACAAAAACTAACAGAACAATCTGTTTAAAAACTAGAATTGGACAAATGTAAATTAATGACTCTATGAGAGAGCAAGAATCAGTCAAACAGAAACAAAAAAAATGAAAAAATAGATGAAAATGTAAAATACCTCTCCGGTAAAACAACCGACCCAGAAAATCAATCCAGGAGAGACAGTTTAAAAATCATTGGCCTACCTGAAAATCTTGATGAAAAAAAGAACATGGACAGTATCTTTCAGAAAATCATAAAGGAAAACTGAAGTCCTAGAACCAGAGGGTAAGGTAACCATAGAAAGAATACACCACTCACCCCCTGAAAGAGATCCCTTTTGACAACACCAAGGAATATAATAGCAAAATTCCAAAATTACCAGATGAAAGAGAAGGTGCTGCAAGCAGCCAGAAAGAAACAATTTAAATATCATGGAACCACACTCAGGATTACACAGGACCTTGCAGTTTCTACATTAAAAGACAGCAGGGTGTGGAACATGGTATTCCATAAGGCAAAGGAGCTTGAATTGCAGCCAAGGATCAACTACCCTGCAAAAATGAGCATGATTTTTCAAGGGAGGAGATGGATATTGAATGAAATAAGGGACTTCCAAACCTTCCTGATAAAAAGGCCAGAGCTCAACAAAAAATTTGATCTTCAAGTACAAGATTCAAGAAAGACATAAAAAGGTAAATGGGACAGAAAGATACAAAATGTTGTTAATAAGGGCGGACTGTTTACATCCCTACAAGGGAAGATGATACTTGCAACTCTTGAGAACTGTATTGTTATTACACCATGTTAAAGGATGTATACATAAAGAGGGTGGATATTAGTTGACTTTGATGTAATGATAAAAAAAAGATCTAATCAAGTGGGTTAAATGGATCCAAGTAAGTGGATTAGTCTGATCTTAGAAAATGTACTGAGAAAGGAGGAGGTAGACAAGGGTAAATTACATTACAGGAAAAGACAGAAAATCCTATTACAGCAGAGGGAAAGAAGGGAGTGGGGTGAGCATTGTTTGAATCTTACTCTCACCAGATTTGGCTCAAGAAGGGAATAACATAATCAGTTAGGTATAGAAATCTAACTTGCCCTATAGGCAGTAGGAAGGAAAAGGGGAAAGAAAAGGGAGGGGGGATAAAAGGGAGGGAAGAAGCAGTAAGGGCAAAGGGGAAGAAAAGAGAAAGGGATCATAGAAGGGAGGAGAGACTGAACGAGGAAGTGGTCAAAAGCGAAACACTAGTGAGGAGGGGAAAGGAGAAAGGAGAAAGAAAAGCAAAATCGGGGGGGAAAAGGATGGAGAAAAAGACACAGATACTAATCATAACTTTGAATGTGAATTTTTCTTTCTCTTCTGTTGAGTTTTGTTTCCTCTTTCTGACAGTTCCTCCTACTGGTTTTAACTTTTACTTACAACTTCATTAATGTGAAAATATGTTTAATAGGAATGTAAATGTATAGCCTATATCAGATTGTGCACTCTTTTGGTGAGGGTGGTGGGGAGGAAGGAGGAGAACAATTTTAAACTCAAAAGCATATGGAAGTGATTGTTAATAAATCAAAATAAATTAATAAAAACAAAACAAAACAAAAATACTTCCCCACATTCTTATTGCTATGCCTAAATCTAAGAGCAGGAGATTGGAAATTGGGTGGGTTTTCTGCTCACTGTATTTCAAATGGCAGGTCACAATGACATACAAATGGGTGGTCATGAGAACACTCCACAAGGTACCTATGTTCAAATCTTCCATCTTAGCCCAACTATGTGGCATAGGATGTCTTTGTGACTCATGGGCTTCAACAACTGTTCTTCTAGTGTTTTTGTTAGTTCTTACATAGACCATTAAAAGTTTGTCTTGCCTTCTAAAGTACCTTTTTTTGTACAAGGAACATCACTGATTTCTCATCAACCAACCAATCAACAGGTATCTATTAAGTGCCTATAATGTTAAAGACAAATAATTTCTATTCACCAGGCAAGTATCTAGAGTGCTTCAAGTAATGCTGCTTGGCTACAGATCGCAATGTTGGAGTGCCTTGTCACTGATAGGAAGTATGGGTGGGTGCACTGTTACTGGTACCTATGGGTTCTGAAGGCTTCAGGTCCAAAACGCTCTCAAATCTGTAACAAGAGAACATGCTTTATTTTAGCACCAGAGTAATGATCTTCACAGAGTGATTTTCACCAGTACAAGATCATTACTTCAGGCATTTGTGATTTTGTAATGGTTGCTCTTAGATACAATACATATCAAAGCTCCTATACCACTCAATAGATGTCCTTAGCCAGCTGCTGGGAGGGAAGACTCATCCCCTCGCAGCCCAGTGGCTGGCAACGAGCCTCTGAGTTTAGCTAGGCTGGCCCTTGGCACAAGACAAATACAGTCCATTACCAGTATTATTCTTGGAAGTCTTTCCACTTGGGGAGAATCTGCCAGAGTTTGTACCACATGCATAAACTCTTAGAAATGACAATATAAATAGTTAAATAATAATAAAAAGAAAGAAAATAATATAAAACTTGCCTATGGAGAGTTTTATCACTCTGTCTTTTCTTATTTTTTAGATCAGCCTTGGTGAAGGAAGGGCTGAAATCGAGGTCATTCAAATCATCCCAATCATCAGAATCCTTTGTTGACCTGGAAAGTGGCCCTGTTGTGGTTTGAGAGGTTGTGACCCCTCAAAGACTGAAGTACACGACACGGTCGCCTGGAATGAATTCACAGACTCAAGCATTCTTTAAGTCAAGTTGTCAAAGAGTTTATTGTTACGTTTTTCAGGGGGCAAGGATTCTTAAGGATCCTGCAATCTTAAAAGAGTATAGTTAAAGTTTAGATAGTATGATATGATAAGAGGTATGTCAAATATGTTAACTAGGTGATTCAGGGCGGGATTAGGGAGTGCTTAAGGAGTGGTCAGTTCTTAAACAAACATGCACTTGTATCTACTGAGCAGGCATTTTACCCAGAGTTCACTGGGAAAAGCTCACAAGGGGGGGCCACATGGAGGTATGGTTTTAGGCCTGCTACATCACTAAGTTAACTAGCAGTCAGGGACAACTGAGAGTCATCTAGTCTGCCACCAATCAATGTCTGGTTTGACAACATAGATGGAGGAAGTACATGTATGTCTTAAGTCTAGAATACAGTTAATGAGGAGTCCAGGATGTAGATAATGAGGTAGGGTGGCAGTACAGATAGTCCAGTGGGTAAGAATGTCTTTATGACCCAGTGCAAAGCCAGTTCAAACTAATAATTCCTTCAGGTGCTGCTTGTTACTGCACTAAGGAGAGAGATAAGGGGCTTGCTGGGGCCCACTCATGAGTAATTGTCCTTGGGTTGGGGAGAAACTGTCAGGAATACTGTGTCTGAGGCTAGGGAGAAAATGGGGTTCAAGCACAAGCACCCAAACACAAGCACCCAAGTACCCCATCAGCCCCACCTCCTCCTCTTTGGTTTAATTTCACCATTTGGGTGCTCCAAGCCTGCCAGAACTTTCTGTAAACACACAAAGGGGGGAAAAAGATAACACTCAGCATTAAAAGCACTCCTCTAGGATTCACTAATGTTCCCCACTCACTCATAAATTATTTTAATTTATTTTACATTTGCACATTTAAGCAGATGCTCTTTTCCCCCTTCCCCTTAGAACAACTAGACTCCTGGAGGACAAGGGCTATTTTGTTCCCAGAACAATAGACTTAGAAGAAGGTCTGACACATCTTAGCACTTAGTTAATGTCTGCTATTAATAATAACAAGCAGCACTTGGCTCTTCTAAGTCTTCAGAGCATTTTACACATATGACCTCATTTGATCCTCACAACAATCCTGTAAGGGTGGTATTGTTATTATCTTCATTTTAAAGATGAGGAAACTGAGGCTAAGAGAGGTATACATTCCACAAATATTCAGTAAGCACCTATCATTGTGTGACTTGCCCAGGCTCACATATCTAAGTAAGTGTCTGAGGTAGCATTTGAACTGGTTTCTCAATCCACTGTACTGCTGGGCTGCATAGTTAGCACTTAGTATCCCCTCCTCAACAAATCAAGGATACTAGATTTAGAGCCAAAAAGTCTTGAGAGCTTATCTAGATAATTTTTTTGAGGGGTAAGGCAATTGGGGTTAAGTGACTTGCCCAGGGTCACAGAGCAAGTGTCATGTGTCTGAGGCTGGATTTGAACTCAGGTCCTCCTGACTCCAAGGCCGGTGCTCCATCCACCGTGCCACCTATCTGCCCTCTCTAGATCAATTTTTTAATTTTACATTGGGGGGGGGAAATAAGAGAGGTTACACAGGCGATAGATGGTAGGATTTGAACTCAGGTTTTCTGATTCCAAATTGAGTATTCTTTCCACTATACCACACTGCTGCTTCCCTAATAAAAGCAGGTCTGGGGCTGCTGCATGCAATTATAATCAGGAAAAGGAATTTCCAATCTTGGAATTTCTTAGACTTACTATCTTGACCCTGGATAATACAGATTATACCATTTCCCAACTATACAAGACTGTAATTACCTAAAAAATTAATTGGTAAAAAGTTAGTAATCACTCCATACATTTTCAGGAAGACTAGCTTCTTATCCTATCCTTATTTATTAGAGAGTTAACACCATTCAGATCATCATTTATACAAGGGCCTACAAATCTGGTGTCAAGGCCCATATGACCACTGTGCTAATTAATCATGAAATAGAAGAGACGTTTCTTATTAAGAACTATCTGCTCCTAATGCCTTCCTTTATTGCTGTTGTTCAGTTGGTGCAGTCATGTCTGACTCTTCGTGACCCCATTTGGGGGTCTTCTTGGCAAAGATACCAGAGTGCTTTGCCACTTCCTTCTCCAGTTCATTTTACAGATGAGGAAACTGAGGCAAACAGGGTTAAGTGACCTGCCCAGGACCACATAGCTAGTATCTGAGGCCAGAAGACTCTAGGTCTAGCATTCTGTGCACTTGGCACTGCCTACCTGCCCTGCCTTCCTTTATAAAGGACAGAACTTGGACTCTTACCTCCTCACTCCACTTCCCACCTGCTGCCCTGCCTAGTTTCAATTCCACAGACCAAATTAGTCCTCTCAGGTGAAGCTTATCACTTCTAAGCTCACCACCTCCCTGATATCTCAAGCCTTATTGACACCACCTCCTTCAGCCTCCTTTCTCCTCTGATTGGAGAGCTGCAGGGCAGAGTACCAAACTCCTGCCACTGTCTTCCTTTACAGAAAGCAGAAACTGGACTCAATTCACTCCAGTTTACATCTGCTGTCCTGCCTGGTTTCAACTCCATGGAACAAGATGCTCCCATGCCAGGTAGCTCTAATTGACCAATCCCTCTCCTCTTGCCTCCTTTTGGGTAGTATCTCCCACTCCTTGAGGACAGCGGCTATCTTTCTTTTTATTAATTGTATTCCAAGCACTTAGCGCAGTGTCGGGCATACAGTAGGTGCTTAATAAATGTTGATTAAACTGGATTGTATTGCTATCTGTTAACTATGTAGAAACAACTGCTTTTTACTCTTTTTTTAACCCAAAGATTCATTTTTCATAGGCAATGAAATATCATTTTTATATTGCCCAGAGAAGCTAATATTGTGCCCTGTACCTAGAAGTTGATCGGCAGCCCCTGAAGGACTAACAGCATTAAGAGTTTCTGCTACCTGCCTCATTTAGAGAAAACTTCTTATTCTTCATGCTATACAGCCTAAAAAGAAGTCAGGGCCTGAGTTCCAGTGCCCATTTTCAGTGCAACACTTATTGCTTTCTCTTTTAAAAATGCATTCTGATGATCCTTCAAGAAATGTCTTCAAAGGGGCAGCTAGATGGTGCAGTGGATAGAGCTTGGGCCTTGGAGTCAAGTGGACCTGAGTTCAAAAGCGGCCTCAGACACTTGACACTTACTAGCTGTGTGACCCTGGGCAGGTCACTTCACTCCGACTGGCTCACCAAAAAAGAAAAAAGAAATGTCTTCAAAATCAAAAAGGTTTGCAAAAGTGGGATGAGTGGATAAAAACTGAGCTTTTTATGCATAAGAAGAGATAATCAGAATACCTCTCTTTTTTTAACAGGCCTATGAGCTTTTTGTGGGGTAGCTTTATATATGGTGGGCCAACCAATAAATGGTCCTTATGAAGAGTTTCCTAAGTACCCAGATTCTTGTTAATCTCTTTCTTAGGGCTCTACAGATACTGTCCTCATCACAGCATTCTGTGTTTTCTGATACTATCTTGTGCTATACTTTATCTCTTGTGTAACAATAATAATGATAATAGCTAACATTTACATAGCACCAAATATGTGTCAGCCACTGTGCTAAGCGTTTTACAGTTATTATTTCATTTGATCCTTACCCCAACTTTGGAAGGAAGGTACTAGTATGACCCCCATATTACAGATGAGGAAACAGGGCAAATAGAGGTGAAGTGACTGGCCCAGAGTCATATAGCTAGTAAGTGTCTGAGGCAGGTCTTTCTGACTCTACGTCCAGTGTTCTACCAACTGCCCCACCTAGCTGTATTCCCCTCTTGTCTCCAGAACATAAAGCTCTCTAAAAGCAGGGACCATGCTTCCTACTTCTTTTATATTCTCTTCCGTGTTGAAAATAGTGCTCGATACACAGTAGGTTTTCAGTAAATAACCTATATTGAATAAACAAGAAAAACTAGTGTGTGTAAGTATTAAAAAAAAACCAGAATCACAAAATTTCAGAGCTGAAAAGAAAACTGTCAGGGCCACTGAGGCCAACCCACACCTGCAAAATAAAGTCCTATACAATAAATCCAAGGGCTTACCTAGTCTTTGCTTGAAGGCTTCCACTAAGGGGAACCCCACTATCTCCCAAGGATGCCCATTTTATTTCTGTTTGGAAATTCTTCCATACCTCAAGATGAAATTTTGCCTCTTTTCTCAGAGGGGTTAAATGAGTTGTCCAACATCACATAGGTAGTTAGGGCCTGCAGCTAGGTGGATAAAGTGGTGGACCTGGAATCAGGAAGACCCACCTTCCTGAGTTCCAATCTAGCCTCAGACACTTACTAACTGTGTGACCCTGGGCAAGTCACTTAACTCTGTTTGCCTCAGTTTTCTAGTCTGTAAAATGAGCCAGAGAAGGAAATGGGAAACCACTCCAGTTTCTTTGCCCAAGAAAACCCCAGTAGAGCTCCAGACTTGGAGTCAGGAGGACCTGAGTTCAAAAAGTTCACTTGAAGTGCCTTACATTCTGAGGGATCTTGTTGTGGAGGGCTGGGAAAAGCACTGGAATAGGCTGGTCCTCTTGGTGCTGGCTCTCAGGATCTGCTGCTGAAGCCTCTGTTTTGTATGGGTATATGAGATGCTGGGGGGTCAGGCTGGGCTGATGTGGTCGAGAAGAAATCCGGGGATGTGGTTTGGCAGGGGGGGTTGCAGGAGGGACGGGTTTCATATGAGGTGGTGGTCCCATCTTCTCCTGGAATTCTTTCTGTGGTTTCCCCATTTCCTGAAGGCTATGGGGAGTGCTGCCTAGGGGATGTCCAACTTGAAAGTAGGAATATCGAAGTGCCTGAAACCAACAAAGTAGACAGAATTAGGTAAAAGACCACTCTTCCCAGGAAAGTGTTCAAAGTTTCCTCCCAAGTTCCTTAGGTGTTATACTATGGTGAAGATGGGAACAACAGCAATAGTAGCTAGCATTTATATATCACTTTAAGGTCTGCAAACTGTTTTACATGTATCTTTCATATATGGGCAGTTAGGTGGCTCAGTGGATAGAGCATTGGGCCTGGAGTCAGGAAGCCCTGAATTCAAATCCAGCTTCAGACACTTACCAGCCGTGTGACCCTGGGCAAATAGCTTCACCTCTGTTTGCCTACGTTTCCTCATTTGTAAAATGGGGATAATGATAACAACACCTACCTCCCAGGGTTGTTTCAAGGATCAAATGAGCTTAAATGTTAGCTATTATTATTATTTCATTTAACCATCACAATAATCCTGAGAAGTAAGGGTTATTAAGAATGACAACAACAATAATAATCATGGCTAGCACTTCACAATTTTCAAATTACTTTACAAATATTATTGTATTCAATCCTCACAAAACACTGCAAGGTAGTTCTATTATTATCTCCATTTTACAGATGAGGAAACTGAGGAAAACTGAGGTTAAGTACCTGGCAAGGGTCAACAAAAACAACAGGTGGACATTTATTTGTGTTGTCTAGACCAGGGGTTCTTGACCTAATGCCTGTAAACTTAAGAAAAGATAATTTTGATAACTGTATTTCAATATAATAGATTTTAACAATCATTTATTAAGCACCTACTGTGTGCCAGGCACTGTTTACAAAGACAAAGCAAAACAGTCCCTATCCAGCTTGCATCCTAAAGGGGGAGACAACATGCATACATACATATATATAGTGATATACAAAGCACTAACAAAACATACATAAGGTAATCTTGGAGAGGAGGCTTAGGAATTCAAAGACGTTTTCTTGATGAGCCTTTAAACACCATTGTGTTTTAGCATATTGCCTGGTACACAGCAGGAATTTAATAAATGTTTATTGACTGATATTATGAATAGGAAATAATACATATCCTCATTGAACAGGTAAAGCAACATACTGGAAAATGCACTGAACTTAGATTCAAAAGTTCTGGACTTGGCTCCTAGATCTAGGTGAGTTCTAGGCCAAGCCTGCCACTTACCAGCTGTCTAACCTCAATCAAATCACTCAACCTCTGTGCTAAACTATATCACAGGGCTGGTTTTTATTTGCAGGGAAGGAGGTAGGGAATGATTAAATGAGATAACATATGTAAAAACACATTGTAAACCATAAGGGAGGTAAGCAAATTATTTTTTGTTTATTTAATAACAAAGAAAAACACATTAAATGAATTAAGAAGACACAGAATATTGAGTCATATGGATAATATCATTAAACGCACACATTTTTACCTTTTAATTCCCTCAGCTAAATTGTGGGCTGAGGCTCTGATTATTGCTATCTTTTTCCTCTCTGGTTAGGTCAAGTTTATCATGCCATTTTTCTTGCCTTCAGCCTTCTACTGACTCCTTGTAGTACCTCACATCTAAATTATCCCCCTCACTATCGATGCCAATCTAGGCCCAGCTAGGTAACCTACATCAAAGTAACCAGCACTCTTGCCATAGAACCTCATTATAGACCACCATCCAGGACTATTAGATACTACCCCCTTCCCTTTTGCCAAGACCTCTCCTCTGCTTCATCCAAGACCATCCTCAATCCTACTCCAAAATGGAATTTGTTGTTGGCTAGAATGAGGACTCTAGGTTCTCACAAATTCCTGTGTAAACAGGATTAGAATTCACTTCAGGTCAGGTATAAACAGGATTAGAATTTACTTCAGGTCAATCACATATTAGGGTGGAAAAAAAAAGCAAAAATTAAAGAACATCATAAAAGAGACTGTATAGTAGACTAATGGGCTGAAATAGATATATGTCGGCTATATATTTGGTCTCAATGTTACACAAATTCCTAAAGGCCAGTAGTTAATAATACTGATGATAACGAGTCATTGTGGTAAAATGGATAAAAATCCAGCTTTGGCATCAGGTTCAAGTCAAGCCTCTGATACCAGCTGCATGACCCTGGACAAGAAATTTAATCTCTCTGTGGCCCAGGTACCTAACTGTTTAAGAGTGTAAGTTGTAAAGGAGAGCTGATCTCACTAGGAATTCCCTGTACAGTTATCCCTCCCACATCGCAACTTTCCCCACTGAGATTTCAGTATATCACAGGTTGGCATAAAAAATTAAATGGGAATTTTGGGGACTTTTGCAGAAGTTGCAGATGACATGCGAAGGCCAGCAGACAACAAAGAGCCTATGACCAAATACTTAACCCAAATTTTACAATAAGGTACACCCCATAAAAGAAAAAGAAAAAATTCCGACTTCTCTGGTACTAAAGGAGGGCCAAAAAATTTTACACGGATTTTTCAGATTTCAGGGGTGCCATGCCCCTAACACCTCCAATGTAGAAGGGGTAACTACTAATGAAATGCACAGGGATGCTTTAATAAAAATAATTATGATAACGATAGTAATGATAATCCCAGGAAGGCATTATCATGTACAGGCAAAGGGCAATGTATGAGATTCAGGAGCCCTGGATTCTAATCTTTGCTTTGTCACTATCTTTGCATGTGTGACCTGGGGCAAGTCATTTCCCCAGGGTGGACCCTAGCTTCTTTTCCCTAAAGTAAATAGGTTAGAATAATCTTTAAAACCCCTTGCAGCAGTAACAATCCATGTGATAATAATGATGACTGCTGCTAGGACTAGAGATTAATTGCATTTGCAGGGTACTTTACAGTTTACAAAGCACTTTCATATACACTATCCTACTTATTCTTTCCAACAAACCAATGATGTAGGTAGAGCTGAGGATGACATATTCACTTTACAGATGAAGAAGCCAATGCTCAGAGACACCAAATAGCTAACCTCAAGTCACACAGTGAGCAAAAGTGGAAAAACTAGAATATTCTAGAAATCTGGGCTTCTGTCCAGCATTCTTTCTATTACACAGCAGTGCATGTGCTTCTGTCCACCCCCACGCTCATAAATTTTAAAGAGCAGCAACCAGGTCCGAGACCTCTCCCTCAGTCCCATTCTCTGTAGGGCAGAATTGCCAAATTGTTCATGTGTTAATGATCTCAAGTGCAGCAACAGAAGGGATGCTGCACTCTTTGGTTTCCTTTCCCCGTGATGACTTTGCATTATCGATCATAGATCTGGAGCTGTCAGGGACCTTAGAGATGGGCCATCAAATTCCTCAATCCCCTCCTTTGGCAGACAAGAAAAGCAAGGCACAGAAGTGTTAAATAACTTGCCCAGCTAGTAAATGTCTGAGGTAGGGTTTGATCTGCCTGACCTGAAATGTAGGGCTCTCTCTCACACCGTGCCATTGCTGGTTTCTGTCCTCTGTTTTCGAAGAGTACCAATGACATCATGGGGTGATACCTTGACTCATACATGAACTCGATTTAAATGAAGCAGAGTTGCACAGTCATCAGCCTCACTCCCTCTTCCAGAGTCACCAAAGTTCAGTGGCAGGACAAAAGTCAAGGCTACTGGCAGTGGCCCGCGATCCAGCACACGATCCTGGCATCTTCAACGTCTGACCAAGCTCTATGCACTCCACAGTGCCGGCTTCACCTGCCTTCATGGCCACTGGAGCAAATTGTTCTCAGCCACCCAATCTACCAGAGGAAGTCTTTATGTGCATGTTTGGAGTAGACATCCCCCTAACTCACTGCAAGGTCTGAGGCCTGTCAGTTCCTCTCAACCTGGTTTAGCCCATCTGCTGAAATGGTTCTACCAGAGTGTGGCCATGCACATGCTACAGCTTCTTGGAGTCACAGGGGGAGAGTTGAGTGAGAGGCGGACAACAAAGGTGGATGAGCAGCCCTGCAGGGCTCAGCAAGACCTCACACCAGAGGTGCTACAAGAAGAGACATGGCAACAAAACCCCAATCATCATCACTATGTCTAGGGTTTTGTTTCTACTTTGTCACTAACATGTTTTGTGATCTTTGGGCAAGTGACTTCACCCCTCTTCAGTCTTCAGTTATAAAAGCTATAAAATAAGAAGAAACACCCGAGGAGGTTAGGGGCAGGGAGGTGGCACAATGGATACAGAGTCAGGCCTGAAGTCAGGAAGATTCCTCTTCCTGAGTTCAAATCCGGCCTCAGACATTTACCAGCAGTGTGACCCTGGGCAAGTCACTTAACTCTGTTTGCCTCAGTTTCCTATCTGCAAAATGAATTGGAGCAGGAAATGGCAAACCACTCCAGTATCTTTGCCAAGAAAACCCCCAAATGGGATCATAAAGAGACTGACATGACTGAAAAGGAATGAACAACACCAACCAGGAGGCTAAGTGACTTGTTTTTGGTCAGTCATTTCACGCTATAGCTTCTTGGAGCCACAGGTGAGACGTGAATGCCAGGTGGACATCAAAGGCAGATGAGGAGCCCTGGAAAGGGCTCACATCAAAGGTGCTAGTCCTTCAGGAATGCCCCTACACCCCCGCACCATGCTACCTATCACCTAAAGCATCTTCCATCTTGGGAGCACCAGATTCAGGAAAGCCACCCTCAACACTCACTATATCACCTCCTACTCAACAACAAAGTGGAAGAGTCTTCCTGCTCTCAAAAGGTAACCTGCCATCTAGAAAGTGTGGACTGACATTAGTTTTGATTTCACGGACGCTGATAGACTTCCCTATCATCCTGGCAGGAAGTTAATGTGTGTAGTTATTCTATTCATGACCAGGCAAGCAAAACGCCAAATGACAGAGAAAACTTTTCCCTCCACCAATGTCACATCAAGTAGGCGATGCTGGTAGGAAAAGATATCCACTGCAGGGCATATGGAAAAGAGATATGGGTATTCCTATTTATAGAGCACACCTTATACACCACCTTATTATGGAGATGTATTTCTACAACTATTTTGCTCAATTTGCACCCACAACATCCTTGAGAGGAAAGAAATGCAGATACTATTCCCACCTTACATGGGAAGGAACTAAAGCACAGAGAAGACTTAGGGAAACAGGACAGATTGAAAGCCTTAAAGATAACCTAATCAGGAAGACTTATTTTCCTGAATTCAAATCTAGCCTCAGACACTTACTAGCTGTGTGATCCTGAGCAAGGTACTTAACCTGTTTGCCTCAGGTTCCTCAACTGTAAAATGAGCTGGAGAAGGAAATGGCAAACCACTCCAGTAGCTTTGCCAAGAAAGCCCCAAATGGGGCTACAAAGAGTCAGACACGACTGAAAAACAACCAAACGACAATCCAATCCACTCATATTACAGATGAAGGAAGCTGAGGTCCAAAGAGGTTAGTTAAGTGATTTGCTGCCCCAAGGTCACCAGGGCACTCAGTGGCAGAGCCAGGATGCAGATCCAAATCATGTGATTCCACTGCCTCTCCACGTCTTACTCAAGGTCATCCAATAAGTCAGGGCTGAATAAGACCTTACTCCCAACAGAGTACAAAAAAACAGTATCCCCTAAATCATGTCATGCTTTCATGAGTACCTTCAGTCTATGAGCCAACCCTTCAGTCTGGCAGATTGTGGCCATGTGGTACAATTTACATATTTAATGCCGCCAACAGACAAGTGCTCTGACATTTTTCAGTGGCCTTAAAGTAAGGCTATGTTTTCACTTCCAGTGGGGGAAAAACACATCAGTGACATGAACTTACAGCTATGGCAACTGGCAGTAGGATGGTTCTGCTCTCTCAAAGGAGTCTATTCACCAGGGACAGGGTGTACTTTCTCACACTGAGGAAGAGGTAACAAGGAGACATGAGACCCAGGAGAGCTTGACTCTGTAAGCCGTTCTGGTCTTGATTTTTCCACCAAGTCTCAACACAGCAATAAGGGATAAGAGGAATTATTATCAATTTGCATATACCCTAGGAAGACAGGGTGGAGTGGTAAAAAGAGGGCTGGATTTAGAGTCAGACCTGAGTTTAAATCTAAGCTCTCCTCCTTACGAACTGAGATGATGTATGATGGAGTGAACTGGGGACTAGCTATGGAGAAAGAGGACCAAGGTTCAAATCCCACTTCTGGGACTTGTTAGCTAGAAGACCCTGGCAAATCATTTAACTTGTGTACATCTCAGTTTCCTCAGTTATAAAAATAAGGTGCTTGAAACAGATGGCCTTTGAGGCTTCTTCCAGTTCTAGATCCATGATGCTAGGAGACCCTGGCAAGTCATTTAACTTATGTACATCTCAGTTTCCTCAGTTATAAAAATAAGGTGCTTGAAACAGATGGCCTTTCAGGCTACTTCCAGTTCTAGATCCGTGATCCTATGATCCCTAAGTTAATTTTGATCTCTGGGCCTCAGGTTTACTCATCTATAAAATGAAGGCATGGGATTAAATGACTTCTACGGTCTCTTCTAGCTGCAAGTCTATGATTTAATGATTTATGTTGTTGTTTAGTTTTGTCTAACTCTTTGTGACCCCATTTGGGGTTTTCTTGGCAAAGGTACTAGAGTGATTTGCCATTTCCTTCTCCAGCTCATTTTACAGATGAGGAAACTGAGGAAAACAGGGTTAAGTGACACAGCTAGGAAGTATCTAAGATCAGATTTGAATTCAAGAAAATGAATCTTCCTGACTCCAGGCTGGATACTCTATCCACTTTGACACCTAGCTGCCCCTTAATGATTCTTACCAAAGACTAAATCAATATGGCCTCATTGAAAACTTACCATTAATTTTCAAAGGATATCAGACCTGCAGAATTCACATCCATCTCATAGAGTGTCAGGCTTGAAGTCAAGAAGGCCTGAGTTCCAATGTGGTCTCAGACATTTACTAGCTATGTGACCCTGGGCTTACTTAACCTCTCTTTGCCTCAGTTTCCTCACCTGTAAAATGGGGATAATAATAACAGTACTGAACCTCCCAGGGTTATTGTGAGGATCAAATGAGATAATATTTGGAAAGTGCCTGGCACATAGTAAGCACTAAATACATGCTAGCTAACATCATCCTCATCATTGTTGTTGTTTTATCATTGCCTTTCTAAAGGTGTGAAATATTTTGTATGTTGTCACTTGACGCTGATGTCACTTTTGTCAGTTGGTTTTGCTGAACTGTTTTGCTTTGTTAGAAAGGAAGGTCCAGTGATTAGTGGGAGGGACATATTTGGAAATAACTGTTATTTTTTTTTGTTTGTTTGTTTTGGATAGGCAATGGGGTTAAGTGACTTGCCCATGGCCACACAGCTAGTAAGTGTTATGTATCTGAGGCCGCCTTTGAACTCAGGTTCTCCTGAATCCAGGGCTGGTACTCTATCCACTGCGCCACCTAGCTGGTCAATAGTAAAACTTACAGATGAATAATAAATTGAAATGAATGCAGGCTTTCCCACTGACCATTCGTTACTTTGAGTAACCCCTTGTAGACACTATTCCTGGTTGATGGTTTTAGTCTGAAGATTTAGAGCTGGAAAGGACCTCTGAGGATATCTACTCCAAATCTTTCATTTTAAAGATGAGAAAGACTGAGGTATGGAGAGGTTATATGACAAGGTCACACAGGCACTCAGGGGCTGAATCCAAATCGAATGCCCTTTCCTCTCTACCAAATGGCTTTTCTTTTCTTTTCTTTTTTTTTTTTGCTGAGGCAATTGGGGTTAAGTGACTCACCCAGGGTCACACAGCTAGTAAGTGTCAAGTGTCTGAGGCCCAGATTTGAACTGAGGTCCTTTTGACTCCAAGGCTGGAGTCTACTGCATCACCCAGCTAACCCCGGCTTTCCTTTTCAACCCCCCTGAAATGAGCTTCTATACCTTGTTCACGTCTTTCTATTCCCAATCCTCTTCTTCTAATCTCTTAAAAACATATTATAGAAGTTCCAAATGCACCCATTCCTCATCTTTCACACAGATGCTCGGTCAGGAATGGTTTTCTGCAAATAACCTGTGGCCAAAAAAATACTTGTTTGCACAAATCAGAACTAGGTTCCATCTTGGGATGTATCTCCTAACATATCACTCTAGTTTGTTTCCGTTGGAAAAATCAGTATTTAGCTTCCTTTGCTTCGGCCCACACTTTTCCCTTGGAATGTAATACTTAGATCTTTGCTACAAAAAAGATCCTACTATTTCACATAAGCAGTCAGGCTAATAATATTTGGAATTTTTCATCTGCCACTTGATCATGAACACACATGTTTCTTTCTAGACACTGCAGGTCTGTATGGGTTTCTTTCTGGTCAGAGAATGAATCCAGGTGGTTCCAACTGGCTCTTTCTCTGTTTACTTCTCAGATCTGGTTCTTTGGGTCCTCTTGTCTCTTCTCTCCTTTTTAAAATGCCAAGTCCAAGCATGTGACCTAGAAGCACGAACTGGTTGCAAATCAATCATCTTAATATAGTGTCAATGGGTCAACCAAGAATGAGGCAAGAAATCCATACCTGATTAAGGACATCATAAGTGCTAGGAAAAGTTCTTACCAAGGGGACACAAGTGAAAATTAACCTTTTTTACATTCCGTATATGGAATTTTATATCTGGACCCAAAACAGTGCTACTGTCACCACCTGCTACATTCTCCCTCTGGTTAAATGTGTAGCCACTGCAAATTACTGCAGGGTGGCTTTGGCCACAAACGCCGGTTACCCCAATTATGGGTACCTTCCCGGAGACTTAACAAGATCTTAGGCAGTTCACTCAGTGAAACAGCAAATTGTCTTCCTTCCTCAAGACTTTTCCCAGTATCTTATATCCCTCCAAAGAGCCCACAGCAACATGCAAAGTTCACTTAGAGGCAGCTAGGTGGGGCAGCAGGCAAAAGCATCCAACTTGGGAATCAGGAGGAGAGACCTGAATTCAAATCCTGCTTTACACAATTACTTGCTGTGTGACTGTGGACAAATCACTTAACGTTTCTCAGACTGTTTCCTCAGCTAGTGGTACTGGGCAGCTAGGTGACTCTGTGGATAGAGTGCTGGGTCTGGAATAAAGAAGACTCATCTTTCTTATTTTTTATTTTTATTTACTTATTTATTTTTTGAGGCAATTGGGGTTATGTGATTTGTCCACAGTCACACAGCTAGTAAATGTCAAGTGTCTCAAACAGGATTTGAACTCAGGTCTTCCTGACTCCAGGACCAGTGTTCTATCCACTGCCCTAAGACTCATCTTTCTGAGTTCAAATCTAGCCTCAGACACTTACTAGCTGTGTGACCTGGGCAAGTCATTTTACCCTGCTTGCCTCGGTTTTCTCATCTGTAAAATGAGCTGGAGAAAGAAATGGCAAACCACTCTAGTATCTCTGCCAAGAAAATCCCACATGGAATCATAAAGCGTTGGATACAACTGAAAATGAACGAATAGCACCAAAAATGGTTCCTCCCTACCAGGGTTGTTGTAAGGATCAAATGCTGTAATTTGCCAACTTTAAAGTGCTATATAAATGATGGTTGTTATCATTACTGTATTAGTACCTTTGTTAGAATCCATAGGTACCCCCCAAATTAAAGTCCTTGGTGGGGGTCCAGACCTCCCATAACCAAGTGCCCCTGGGACTTACACATTCTCCCTACATACTGCACAAAGTTCCGCCAAGATCATGTCTGTCTCGGTTAATCGTGCATCTTTTGATACTATTAATGCTGAAATCTAAAGCCCAAACAGGAATCCAATTAGGGATATCTCATTCCTGCTTGTGTCCATTAGTGTTTGTCACTTATGCAACAAAGGAAACAAAAGAAAACATCTTCGGAAACAAAATTGGTGTCCATTGATTGGGGAACAGCCAAAGAAATGGTGGCATGTGAATGTAGTTAAGCCTTCATAAGTATTTTTTTTCCATAACACTTTCCTGTGCCTACCAGTTTTTGTTTTCTTGTTTACAGCAGAGTGGAACAGTGTACTTGAAGCCTACTACTGACTACCTATGGGCAAATCATTTCCTCAGTTTCCTCATTTGTAAAATTAGGAGGTTGGCCTACATAACCCCTAAGGTTTCTTCCAGCTAGAAGTCTGTGAGTTAAAGTCTTGGTTCCTGCCTCTTTCCTGATAAATAGCTTATCTGAGTGTCATGATAAGTAAAATTTACATCCAATAGTTTCTCTAGTAACCTATAGAATTTTTGAGATAGAGGGTGTGGCCTTTTGACTGAGTCCAAGTTTCTCAGAATGGATCCTTTTATTAAGGGGCTTTGTTCTGTGAAGTTTGGATTCAGTCAAAGGGCCACACCTGAGGACCTAGAGGGCCATATATGGCCTCTTAGGCAGTTCACTCAGTGAAACAGCAAATCGTCCTCCTTCCTCAAGACTTTTCCCAGTATCTTATATCCCTCTAAGGAGCCCACTGCAGCGTGCAAAGTTCATTTAGAGGCAGCTAAGTGGTGCAACAAGCTATAGGCTCCCCGCCCCTGCCATAGGCAATTTATTCTTCATTCTGCTTAAAGTGGTAGTGCAAATGAGAAGACAGCCTTTCCTGGCCTTCCCTGGCCTTCCCAGCATTCCTGATCTGTTACAAGACCCCTGCTATGTTCCCTTTGAATTCTCTGGGTCCTCTCTTGGTCCATGGTGCAGCAGAGAGAAGAAGGTATGTGACTGTGTGACAAAGCATCCTGGGAACCAAAGTCAGTGTAGATGTCTAATGATTGCGGAAGGGCTCAACCAACTGTGACATGAACTTAGTAAAAGGCCACATGTGGCCTCGAGGCTGCAGGTTCCCCACCCCTGGTCTACGGTAGGATGAGAAAGGGACTGTAGATCACATTTGGTGTGGAGACATGCATACACTAATAAGAACACAGCAATGCAGACTGATGGAAGAATAGCAAAGGCTTGCCCACCTCATGCTCAATCCAAGGGATACATACTCATTAAATGAATGACTGCAAAAGTCCCATACTATTTAAATTGACTTTCTTTCCCTCCCTTTGTTTTTAAAATCACATACAATTCAATGCTGTAATGCTATTTCACTGTAAGAAGAATTCAGAGAAATATGAGAAGACAGAGGCTCCTAGCTGGTGAGTGCTGGGCCTGGAGTCAATAAGACCTAAGTTTAAATCCAGCCCTAGTTAAGTGTCTTACTAACACACTTACTGCCAGTGCAATGTCAGACCAGTCACTTAACCTCTGTTTGCCTCAGTTTCCTCAACTGTAAAATGGGGATAACAAAAGCACCTACCTACCAGGGTTATTGGGAAGATCAAATGAGTTAGTATTGGTAAAGCATTTAGTACAATGCCTGGAACATAGTAGGAGTGATAAAAATGCTGGCTATTATTATGATTATTAATTATTATTACTTGTATCAACTGACAAGGAGTGAAATTAGTAGGCTTAAGGGAAAATAAAGTTCCCCAATGATACAATAATATAAATGAAAATAACAGAACAATATTCAACTAGATTGACCAATTTTGTCTCTAGAGAAGAAATGAAGAAATGCAGTGCCCTCTTTTTGTTGGAGGAGATGGAGGACTGGGGGTATGGAATGTTGTCAGAGGTGTTGTGGAGACTGGTTTTGCTTAACTATTTTTATTAATTTCTGGGGAAGGCTCAGTGGAGAGGGGAGTAGCAGGGGTTACTCTTGGAATGAGGAAGTAACTACGGTGCAAAAACAAAAGGAAAAAATAAAACTTAAAAACACATACTGTGAAGTCTCACATAAACACAATCTTTAAAAAAAAATTGGCACACTTTTTCCTTGTGATCTTTGCTAATACACAAAGGTACAAACCATCTGTGTTTTCATTGGGGTAGGGAACTATCAGTGTGGGGAACTCCTTCCACCAAGGAGATTGTGAACAATCTTGTGTCTTAGTAAATAAGTTGTTGGGAGTTGCCAAAAACTATACTTTGCTAAATGACTTGTCCAGGGTCACAAAGCTAGCTAGCTAGCTTCAGAGACAGGACTTGAATTTGGTCTGCTCTGTCTCCAAGCACAGCATTCTAACCACCAGTATACGTTACGTCATTTTTTTTCAGACAAGGCTAAAAATTTATCTAAATCAGAGACATCTGTGTACCAGTGACAGGGTGCTTGTGCTTGTACTTGGATCCCAATTTCTCCCTAGTCTCAGAAACACTGTCTCTGACAATTTCTCCCCAGCCCAAGGACACTGTGCCTAGCAATTACTCATGAGTGGGCCCCAGCAAACCCTAATCTCTCTACCTAGTGCAGCTACACAAAGCTGGGCTGCTCAGGCCCCAGCCCTAAAATCATGTCTCTGGAAGCCTCCCAATTCCTTAGTAAGCTCCTGTCTTGTGAAAAAACTTTCCCTTGTCACAGAGCATTGTCTAATCAGGACAGAGAGAGAGGGGTATCTTGTCTGGCCCAAGGAGTTTTGTCCCTGGCTGGCCCAAGGACTCTTCCTCCTGCCAGATTCCCAAGATCCATGCCTCTGACATCTCCTTCTCTGTCTGGTGTACTCCCTGCACTTTCCCATTCGTAGCTCCCAAAGACACCTGGACCTTTAGATGACCTAATCAGCCTCCCCAGCATTCTTTTCCCATGCCCTTTTCCATATAAACCCTAGCTCCATCCTCAGTCTCTTGCAGGTTCCTTAGGAATCCTTGCCCACTGAAAAGCGTAACAATAAACTTTCTGCCAACTTGACTTAAAGAAGGCTTGAGTCTATGAATTCATTCCAGACCACCCCATCCTGTATGCCACTCTTGGAGGGGTCTCCACCTCTCAGACCACAACACCAGGACCTGGATGGAGAGCTTCCTGTTTGTTTCACACCTGACACCCTCCATTGCCTGAAGCCAGAAAAAGATACAGAGAACAAGGTGGATGCCCATCAGCTGAACAATGAGACTAAAACATTACAGGATGCGGATGTGCTAAAATACCTGGATTGCCTTTTTTCCTTACCCCACCTCAAAATCTTTAGCTTTCTTCAAAGCTTAGGTCAAGGACCACTTCCCACCTGAGGCTTTTGCTGATAACCTCAGCTGCTGGTGCCACCTCCCAGAAAATCAACTTGCATTTGTCTGTATTTGTATGTGTACATGTTGACTTCTCAGACAGCATAAAAATTTCTTGAGAACAAAGACAGTTTGAATTTCCTCTTTGTATCACAGAACCTGGAATATCATAGGCACTTGATAAATGCTTGTAGGCTGATGTGATGGATTGTTACTATGAAGTAAGAAATGATGAATAAGAAGAATTCAGAGAAATGCAGGGAGATTCATATGAACCAATGTGGAATGAAAATAATCAGAACCAAGCAGATAACATTGCACAATGAAGGCCCTGTAGAACAAATAATGAAATGTATTTCCCAACTTGGGCCACTAGGTGGCGCCATAGTGCATGGAGTGCTGGGCCTGGAGTCAGGAAGACTCATCTTCCTGAGTTCAAATCTGGCCTCAGATAACTTACTAGCTGGATGACCCTAAGCAAGTCACTTAACTCTATTTGCTTCAGTTTCTTCATCTATAAAATGAGCTGGAGAAGATAATGGCAAACCACTTCAGTATCTTTTTTATTTTTTTTTAACAGTTTTTAAATATCTATTTTTATTACATCCTTTTTAAAAGCCCAATTCATGTCTAACAGCATCCAGATTAAAAAGTTGTTTTGCTTAACAGCATTTCTGTCACAATATAAGAGAAGAATTTCACAATGTAAGAGAATTTATAAATACAACAATAACACAAACAAAAAACTTCAGATGACATCAATTGCATTTCCAAATATCACATATAAAAATCATTGATCTTATTACCTTTGACATTTCATATTTTTTTCCTTTGGAGGTCTTTCTACTTTCTTTTTTTTTTTAATATAAATTTATTTATTTTTAGTTTTCAACATTTACTTCCACAAGATTTTGAGTTCCAAATTTTCAACCCATCTCACCCCTCCCCCCACCCCAAGATGGCATGCATTCTGAATACCCTTCCCCTAGTCTGCCCTCTCTTCTATCTCTCCCCCCCTTCTCTTTCCTCCCCTTCTATTTTCCTGTAGGGCAGGATAGACTTCTGTACCCCATTTCCTGTATTTCTTATTTCTCAGTTGCATGTGAAAACATTTTTTTAAGCATGTGTTTTTAAAACTTTGGGTTCCAAATTTTCTCCCTTCCTCCCTCCCTACCCACCTTCATTGAAAAAGCAAGCAACTCAATATAGGTTATGCATGTGCAGTTATGCAAAACACTTCCATAGTAAACATGTTGTGAAAAACTAACTCTATTTCCCTTTACCCCATTCTGCCCCCTAATTTATTCTATTCTTTCTTTTGACCCTGTCCCTCCTCAGAAGTATTTGCTTCTGATTACCCCCTTTCCCAATCTGCCCTCCTCTCTTGCCCACTTGTCCCCCTATATTCCTGTAGGGTAAGAGAGATTTCCATACCCAACTGAATGTCTTTGTTATTCGCTCCTTCAGTCAAAAACTATGAGAATAAGATTTACTCATTCCCTCTCACCTTCCCCCGTTTCCCATCCACTGTAAGAGCCTTTTCTTTTCTGTTTTTCTGTGAGATAATTTACCCTTTCTCCTTCTCCTAGTATAATCCTCTCTCATCCCTTAATTTTATTCTCCAGATATGACCCTTTAATCTTCAACTCACACTGTGCCCTCTATCTATCTATCTATCTATCTATCTATCTATCTATCTATCTATCTATCTATCTATCTATATTCATACATATAATTTCCCCCCCTCCAACTACCCTAATACTGACAAATGTCTCATGAGTTATAAATATCATCTTTCCATGCAGGGATGTAAACAGTTCGACCTTAATAAGTCTCTTATGATTTCTCTTTCCTGTTTACTTCTTCATGTTCCACTTGAGTCTTGTATTTGAAAGTCAGATTTTCTATTCACCTCTGGTCTTCTCATCAAGAATGCTTGAAAGTCCTCTATTTCACTGAATAACCATTTTTTCCCTTGAAGGATTATACTCGGTTTGCTGGGTAGGTGATTCTTGGCTATAATCCTATCTCCTTTGCTCTCCAGATTATTATATTCCATGCCCTATGGTCCTTTAATGTAGAAGCTGCTAAATCTTGTGTTATCTCTGATTGTGTTTCCACAATACTTGAATTGTTTCTTTCTGGCAGCTTATAATATTTTCTCCTTAACCTTAGAACTCTGGAATTTGGCTACAATATTCCTAGGAGTTTTCCTTTGGGGATCTCTTTCAGGAGGAGATTGATAGATTCTTTAAATTTCTATTTTGCGCTCTGGTTCTAAAATATCAGGGCAGTTTTCCTTGATAATTTCTTGAAAGATGATATCTAGGCTCTTTTTTTGATTATTGTTTTCTAATTTTTCATTCTTTTGGATTTGTTTTACAGTTTCTTGATTTCTCATAAAGTCACTAGCTTCCAATTGCTCTATCCTAATTTTTAAGGAAGTATTTTCTTCAGTAATCTTTTGGACTTCCTTTTCCATTTGTCCAATTTTTCTTTTTAGGGCATTTTTCTCCTCATTGGCTTTTTGGACCTCTTTTGCTATTTGGGTTAGGCTATTTTTTAAGGTGTTATTTTCTTCAGTATTTTTTTGGATCTCCTTTAGCAAGCTGTTGACTTGTTTTTTGTGATTCTCTTGCATCACTCTCAGTTTTTCCTCTACTTCCCTTACTTGCTTCTGAAGATCACTTTTGAGCTCTTCCAAGGCGTGGGACTGATTCATATTTTTCTTAAAGGCTTTGGATGTAGGAGCTTTGACTTTGTTGTCTTCTCCTGGTTGTATATTTTGGTCTTCTTTTTCACCAAAGTAAAATAATATAGTCTGACACTTTTTGCACTACTTGCTCATGATTCTGGCCAATTACTTGAGTTTTAAACTCTTTTTTAAGGTAAGAATCTGCTTCCAATGTGAAGAATGTACTGTTCCCAGCTTCAGGGGTTTGTAGAGCTGTTTTCAGAGATACTTGTAGGGACCTGTAATTTTTCAGTTCTTGCAAGGTGGTATGATAAGAGACAAGGTTTTTATTCCTTTCCTGGCCTGTATTGTAGTCTATTAGTGACCACAAGCACTCCTTTCTGTCCTGGAAATGTGGGGAGGGTTTTCTCTTCACAGCCACTACAAGCCCCACCACACCAGCATTCCTCCTCACCCCAGGACTGCCGCCCAGAACTGTGACCCAGATCCAAGCATGGGCAAAGCAAGAGATTTTTGCCTCAGCACAGGCAAAGAGATCCCTGCAGTCCCCCTCTGATCAGCCACTGGATTCCCCTCAGTCTGTGGGCCAGAAGCTCAGAATGCAGCCACCACTCAAGAGCCCATGCTCAGTGATCTGCACTCTGTAATTGGCTCTGAGACCTAGCTCTTCTCTCACCGCAGAAACAGACTTTTCCCACTGACCTTCTAAGTTGTCTTTGGCGTTCATGTGTTGAGAGGTCTGGAAACTGCCATAGCTGCCTGTGGTTCAGTCCTCTGATGCCTGCTCCAGGTTTGCTGTGGTCTGCACGCCCATGTCACACTGCACTCCTCTCTCTGCCCTGCACAATATACCTTTCTGATCAACCATCCAGGTTGTCTTGGGCTGGAAATTTGCTTCACTCTGTCTTTTTGTGGTCTCTGCTGCTTTAGAATTTGTTTAGAGCCATTTTTATAGGTATTTGGAGGGGTTTGGGAGAGAGCTCAAGCAAGTCACTGTTTTCACTCCGCCATCTTGGCTCCACCCCCCCACTCCAGTATCTTTGCCAAGAACACCCCAAATGGGGTCATACAGAGTTGGATACAAGGTATTATGATACATATGGTATCAGATGCAGTGAATGTATCAGCTATTTTTTCCCCATTTATTTTTGTTTGTTCTAAGAAAAGTTTTTATTCTAAAGGGGTAATTTCAAATACCTGGAATATAAAGACAAAAAGCATCAATAAAATGTATTTAAGAAAAAGGAGGAAGGAAGGGGGGAGGGGAAAGAATAGTAGATAAGGAGGGAAAGAGAAAAAGAGAAGAGGTGAAGAAAGACGGGGAAGGGAGAGGGAGAGGGGAAGCAAGAAGAGGAGGGAAAGGAGGAGAAGAGGAAGAGGATTGGGGAATAAGGGAAGGGAAAGGGGGAGGAAAAAGAAGAGGGGAGGGAAGAGAGGGAAAACATGGGAGGGAAGAAGGGGAGGGAAACGAATAAGGAGAGGGAGAGGGAAAAGATAAGGGAAGAGGATGAGGAAAGAAGTAAAGGGAGAAAGAAAAGGAAAAGGGACAGGGAGAAGAAAGTGAGGGAGGAATAGGGGCATAAAAGAAGGGAAGGAGAGGAGAGTGGGGGGGCAGGAGAGAGGGAAGAGAGAGAAAAGAAGAGGGAAAGCAGAACCTCAAGTAAGCTTAATGAAAAGTGGAAGCTGTCTCTGTAGAGAAATTAAAATATGTTCTTGAAATCAATATTTTAATAACATCACATGATGAATTTTTTATAATAGAGGGAGGCAAATAACATCTATTTTTATCATCTTTAGTCACTAACTAGGGGAAGGTTTTACTACCTAAGGCAAGAACAGACTGCAGGCAATTAAGGATGGGATTGGTAATTTTATTTTTCAGATTTATTCTGGCTATGCTCCTCACTGCTACTACCAAGCTGCCAGATCTCCTTGTTGAGTGATAAAAATCTGCCTACCGGGCAATAACTCTGAGCCAAGTAATGGGTAGAGGTTGCAAAGAGGCAACTCTAAGCCTGAAAAACTTCCCAATAGGCAAAGCTGCCCAGAAGGGAAATGGGTTACCTCTGGAGGAACTGGGTTGACTCTCAACAGAGGTCTTCAAGCAAATTTTGGATGACCATTTGTTTGCTGTAAAGATGCTTTTTCCATTATGTGTTGAATGAAATAGCCATGAGGTACCTTTTAATGCTTGAGATTTTGTAATTTGTGGGTGCAAGAACTTCAATGACAATTTTGACTTTAAAATGAAGGGCAAAAAGAATTACATTTTTAATGTGCAAAATCAGAAGATTGGGTGCTCTAAATAATACACCTGAGTCTAAAGGAATTCATTAATTCTATGGCTTCCTCATTAATACACCAGGTAGCCTCAGATTGGTAATAAGTCTTGGATGCAGAAAAACAATATTAATAGTAAAGGCCATAAACATAAGATATGTAAGCAAATGGCTGCATGACAAATAATGAGTGGGAAATACAGGAATCAAGGAGATGACAGACTCAAAAGTCCATCCACAGTGCCTCAGCCATCCAGTACCAACGCTTTCCACGTATGATACCAGGTAATGTCACTTCACTGTGAGTCAAAAGAATAATTGCCTCAAATAACTTACCATGTTTGTGGATGAATGCAAGTCCCTGTAGTATCTGGTACATAATATTCCTAATAGCAGACTCAGGAAACAACTTGTTTCTATAGTAGGTAGAGAAAGAAAAATCAAGTTGTAAGTCTAGGTTAACACATAAAAATATATTCTCTGTTACTGAGTTTTTATGACAATAATAGGCAAGAAGTGAAGATAGCAGTCATATAATAATAGAGGCCTTTCCAATAATATCAGGGGTAAACCAAGGCTATCCATTGTCACCACCATTATTTGCTATGCTACCTATAGCAATAAAATAAGAATAAGAAAATGAAGGAATAAGTATAGGTAAATGTATCACTTTATGCAGATATATGATGGTTTATCTACAGATCCCTAGAGACTCAACTAAAAATTGAAATTATTAACTTCAGTAAAGTAACAGCATATAAAATAAATCTACAAAATAAGCCTTTTGCATGTTACTAACAAAACCCAACAGAAAGAGATAGAAAAAAAAATTTCATTGAAAATCAGTACAGAATGTATAAAATATCTGGGTTACTTACCACTTACTAACACACTGAAGAATTATATGAATGTAACTATAAAAAAACTTTTTGTAGAAATACGGAAGACTTAATTAATTTGGATAGGAATTAATTGCTTATATTTGGGCCATGCCAAGATAATAACAATGAGATAATATCCAAACTACTTTACCCCAAAGGATACTTTATAGAATGACAAAATTATTTTAAAAATCCATCTAGAGGAACAAAAGATCAAGAATCTCAAAGGAAATAATAAAAAAGACAGGAAAGAAGAAGATCTAGAAGAACCAGATTTCAAACTATACAATAAAACAGTAATCATCAAAACAATTTGATAATAGTTAAAAGAAATAGGTTATAGGCCAAAGAATAAAAGAAAAACAAAAGAAAGAAAAGAGAGTCATTAAAGCATGTTTTTTAAAATGCTCAGAAGAGAACAGAAGGCCCAGAAAAAAAAAGCCACCGATAAGCAGGGAAGCTTTGAAAGTTACATGTCAGATCTGTTGTACACTTAAAGGGAATAGCAAGCTATATACAACAGAGGTTTAGGGTTTCACGTTCTACTTTGTATATAGAAATACTAATTTTATTGGGTGTTTAAAATTCATTACAAAATTGTTTTTATTTTTGTTTTAAGTTGAGAATAAATTAAATAAAATTTTAAATAGAAAATTTGATCAGTGGAGTAAATTTGACATGTAAGATTCATAAGCAATGGAAACACAAGATCACAGTGTTCCCTAAACCCAAGGACACAAATTATTGAGATAAGTAAAAACTTACTATTCAACAAAACCTGCCAAGTAAATTTTGGAAAGCAATCTGGGAGAAATTAAGGTAAAAGCATCTCTCACCTTATGCAACAATACACCCCAAATGGATCCACAATCTAGGCATAAGAGGCCATGTCAGAAACAAATTATAAGAGAATGGAAGGAAATAACTTTGATAGGTGAAGAATTCTTGACCCACAAAAAAGGGTCTTGATGACATCTAGAACTACTGTCACCTCAAATCAGCATCATCCATAGTATGTGGATTTCTCATTACTGTCCTCTGAGCATTATAACAATGAAGGAATTCAACACAATTTCAGGGTAATTTTGAAAGTGTATAGTCTCTAAGGAAATAAAGCTGTGCCTACTCTCTTGTGTAAAATGACACATTTATGTGTTCGATTGGATTAGATGATGAATGCTGTGAATAACCATAGTGAACAGTCTATTCAAAGGTTTTAAAGTGGACTTCTGTTGTGTCACTGTGAGTCTTTTCCTGTGTAATCTTGGTCTCATCTTCAGTCTTTCAAATAATGGGAAATTTCAAAAGCCTCAGCCCAAGTATCTTGGCTATTAAAAGGGAAAAAGAGAAGCAGAAGATTTATAGTCTCTATAAAGCACTTAGCACAGTACCTGGCAAACAGGAGGTACTTAATAAATGCTGATTGATTGATTGATTACAGCCAAGCAAAAGCAGGAAGAAGGAAAGCATCCTTGGGAGAAATGCCTTTCTAAAACAAATTCCCCAAACTGTACCTTTCTTTCATTAGCTGATAAAGGTTTTCCTTCATGTATTCAAAGATAAAATAAAGGTTATCATTTTCCCTGATGACTTCTTTCAATTTCACTACATTTGCGTGGTTGAGCTTCTTTAAAGACTGGAAAAAAAGAAAGAGGAAAGATTTTGGTTAGAAAAATAAAATCTTTTACCTTCTATTTACTAATAACATCTAACACTTATGGAATGCTTTAAAGATTACACCACACATACTCTCTCATTTGAACCTTTGAGGTAGATAATACAGATATTACCCCCTTTTTTACAGACAAGGAAATTAATGGGGTGGGGGAAGGGAGGCTGAGGCTGGTGGATCACTTGAGCTCAGGAGTTCTGAGCTGCAGCATAAGCTAAGGCTGTTTGGGTGTTGGCACTAAATCTGGCATGAATATGATAAGCTCCCACGAGTGTGCATGGGGAAACCAGGCTGCTTAAGAAGGGGCAAACCTGGCCAGGTCAGAAACAGAGCAGGTTAAAGCTTCTGCGGATGATCAGTATGAGCACTGAGCCTCCGACTGGCCACTGCATTTCTAGCTTAGGCAAAACAGGGAGACTCAATCTCAAAATAATAATAATGAAAAAAAAAAATCTAAGGTCAAGAGAAATGACTTGCCTGTGATCACACAAATAGCTGTTAAAGACAAGGGTTGAACCCAGCCCTTTCTGACTCGAGTCCAATATGCCTTGGTACCCTAACTTAGGTTTTCTTTTTTACATTTTTTTGTGTCACAGAACCCTTTGCCAATCTAGTGAAGCCTATGGCCACCTTCTCAGAATGTTTTAAAATGCATAAAATAGAACAAAATAAAAAGTGCACAGCAGAGAACAAAAGAAAACTGACAAGGAAGCAAAGAAAAGATGGACAGCTCTGAACACAATTTGTAGTAATTCTCATATAGACTTTTTTTTTTCAGCCAAAGACAAGGTTTATTAGAACATCCATCATATTGGGCACATGCTTAAGGAATCTGAACATTAGTAAGAGCTGTTGGCTTATTGGCTAGATTATAAGGATCTAAGCAGTGGCTAGATTTTAGGAATCTGAGCAGTGGCTAGATTATAAGAATCTAAGCCTACAGACTTTCTTGACATGGAAATTTATTGCTACATATTTGGAATCCTTTCTTATGTTCTGCTGTGCACATGACATGCTTTTTTCTATATTTGGTATTTAATTTTCAATATTTAAGTTTGTAATATGTTTCTTTTTCTTATTGTGTATTTAAGTTTCAGTAATAAAAAAGCAAAAAAACATAAAATATATAGGATTATGAAGTAATCCAATTATATTAAAATGTAGTTATCAAAATTCTTTAAAAAACAATCTTTTGGAACCTCGGGTAACAGAACACTTGCTGTAATTCTATAGCCAGAAAAACATTATTTATAGCATTTGATTAATATTATAAATGGAAATTTTAATGAAGGAAATGTTTATTTGAAATTATTAATAACCTCCTATGGAACAGAGATTTTCACAACCCGTACTGTAAAGTACTTCCTTTGTCCTTAACCATTACAGGGTACCCATTATTTGTGCCAGATAACACACCAAGCCCTACATTATGAGCTTACCTGACTGCTTCCAGATGTAGGAATCTGGAAATAACTAGACAAGAATCAATAAAGAAAGCTGCCCTTTTTCCCCCCCCAGCTGCAGATATGGTAGCTGCTTCATGCTGAAATCACTAGCCTTATAAGTGTTTGCATAAACTTTGAAGTCAGAATGGCTGAGCACAGCCAAGGCAGATGGCCAGATTCTTAAGCATTCTTCCATCTTCCTCTCTGTGTTTTATTCCATGTACTGGGCTGCCCCTTCTCAAGATCTGTGAGCTTTAGGCGTACAGGAAATATCCAGAATTGTAGGGGAAGGAGGAAGGAGGGAGGGAGGAAAAGGAATAAAGGAGGAAAAAAAGATAGAGACAGGAAGAGAGAGACAGAAAGATAGAGAAAGAGAGAGCTTTCATGACCCTACAGCAACATGAGAGAAACCATTTGCCTAAAAAAGCAGCAAAGGCAGAAGAAACAGGCAAGAATGAATGAATGAATGAAAATGTACTGTCAAGTACTTCCTATGTGCCAAGTGCTCTAATAAGTACTAGAGATACAAATAGAAAAAAACGTCAAGGGGCAGCTAAGTAGCACAATGGATACAGTACTGGCCCTGTAGTCAGGAGGACCTGAGTTCAAATCCAGCATTTTAGGCACTTGATGTCTGACCCTGGGCAAGTTACTTAACCTCAGTTGCCTCACCCCCAAAAAAAATCTATTAAGGGGCAGCTAGGTGGCACAGTGGATAGAACACCAGTCCTGGAATCAGGAGGACCTGAGTTCAAATCTGGCGTCAGACACTTGATTACTAGCTGTATCACCCTGGGCAAGTCACTCAACCCTACTGCCTAGCCAAAAAAAAAGAAGTGAGGCAGTCCCTGCTCTCATGAAACTCACATTCTAATTGAAAGAGACCACACGTAAAAGAAAGTTAGGCTGGCTTCAGGATGGATAGAGAAGCCCAGAAATCCCTGAGGTTTATAACTAGGGCAGCTGGCAAGCTCCAGGGCTCCTTAGGTTGCATCCGTAGGTCCAATAATAATGACAGTACTAATAATAGCTAACATGATACAGTGCTTTAAGGTTTGCAAAGAGCTTTTACATGAATTCTCTCATTTCAATCTCACCACAATCGTGTGAGGTAAGTGTTATGATTATCCTTATTTTACAGATGAAGAAACTGAGGCCAAAAGAGGTTACATGACTTGCCCAGGGTCATACAACCAGCATCTAAGTCAGGATTTGAATTGTTATCTTCCTAATACTCTAACACTTGATGCAATTTCCCCCCCTATGTGATTTTTATGATAGTGCCAGGGATCTTGGGAGGCAGGGTAAATGGTTATGCCTGGAAGACCGTGGAGGTAATACCAGGGTATGGATGGTAGGGCCTCAAGGTCTTCCATTTCATTATTAGGAATAGAACTGATTCCTGCCATCTGATTCAAACAGTGTTATCAGTCAAGCAGCTAAGATAGGTACTAGCTGGGGAGGGGGTCAAGAGGATAAGGGGAAGGTACTGCTGTTGGACCACTGGTTCAGACAGGTTCTAGAGGAGATCAAGCAAACAGGAATAGTAGAACAGCCTAGAACACAGTCCATTCTATCTTTACACCATCTTTATATTTAGTGATGAAGACTAAATCTATTTTTTTAATCAGTAGTAGCCCTATAAAACAGCAACAGGTCAGACACACTATAGTTAGTAAAACCCATCAGATAAACTAATATTCTGCGTCCTTCTGAATTTGGTCCTCTTTGAAGAAAACCAAAAAAAAGTAATCTTGGCCACCTGGGCAAATTCTTTAACTCAAAGAACGTTTTGTTTCCCACAGAAAAGGATCAACTGTATTAATAACAACATTAAGAAGTCCACTGGCTTTTTTTCCCCATAGGTTATCATAGAACATCACAGCTGAAAGGGGTCAGAGGGAACGTCTAATTATCCAAACCCCTCATTTTCCAAATTAGGAAACTGAAGCCCAGATGGAAGAATGACTTCCCAAGGTTTCACAGTTAATGACAGAGCCAGACTGGAACCCAGGTCTCTTTGATTCCTGGTCTTGGGTGCTTGTTCTATTACGCCACGCTAGCTCTGTCATTCTGGTTAAGAAAAAGGAGAAATTAAGAAGATTTTCCTGAAGAACAAAATGTTGAAATAAATCAGATCTGAGCACAGAAAGAAACTCACTAATGAGGGAGACGACCAGGGTTTAGCAGTTGGGTAGAGGTGGTACTTGTACTCCTATTAGCTGGGAAATGAGGCAAAAGGTGGTTAGTGAACAAAAACAAAATTTTAAAAAGCAAAACCAGTCTCCTTTGAGGCCTGTTCCCTAACAGACAAACTCTTGCCAAGGCATTTTCCTGGCACTTCAGCCTCATCTGCTTGGCCCAGCCTGCTTCTCCTGCCTGGAACGCCTTGAACTAGCTGGCTGATTCTACCTCCTTCTTGGGTTGGGCTCCTTGTCCTCCATGGGTAACCGGCATAAACAATGGCCAAACTGCAAATGGCCACTCAACCCCTTCGGTGTTTCTAATCTTTTTTTTTTCCTGCCCGTTGGCTTAAAACAGATCACAGGCAATAAACCTGCTGTCTCAGAATAGTGAGATGGCCCAGAGGAAAATTAATTCAGAGACAAATGAAGTCATGGTCAGAGTCTTTTCCAAGCAGAGAGTTCTAGTCAGGGAGTAGAGTATCTCTAACTGTTGGCCTGAGGGGGAGCATCATAAGCTAAGATTGCTTCTTTAAGCTGAAGAGAATGGTTCCTACAGAACTCTACTTCTGAGAAGAATTAATGCTTGGGGGCAAGTTATATCCAATTTTCATCTACTTGTAAAATACACACACAGAATGCCCCTGAATACTATTTCCAAGAAAGAGGTCCCTCCCCTTGGCAGACTGGGCTGTATCGGGCACAGAACGCAGAGCAGGAAAATTATATATGAGGCATAGGTCATTTGTTTTCAAAAGGGCCTTCTTCTGAAAAAGGATCATTGTTTTTAAAGGATCCAGTCCAGCCTTCTGGACGATTCAGATGTAAGCTATCATTAATAACAAGAAGCTTTTATCTAGTAAGACAAGGCACTTGGTGCTGCACCAGTCACACAGTAAAAAAGCATTTATTAAGCACCTACTATGTGCCAAGCAGTGGGCATACAAATGTAAAGAATAAAACGCTTATCTACTATTTAGGAGCTTATTATATTCAAATGAAAGATGGAATGTCTGGTGTGAGGAACAGAGAGAATTCTGGTAAGACTGAAAAGTGTATGTGGGAGGGGGAAGAAATGTATAAAGGATGAAGAAGAAAGGAGGGCACTATGCATGACCTTCCTGGTGAAGCCTCTTCTGATACCCACAGTCTCTATTTCCTCCCTCCCAAAGTACCTTGTATTTAATTACATTGTATCTATTTTCTTCATAATTTAAGAGATTTATTTGCATTTATTCTCCATCTTTGAGCCTTTGCACTGGCTGGAAGGTACTCCCTTTTCTGTGATAGCTGAATATACACATATAAATGCATACATACATACATATGTGTATAC